TTCGATGGGCGACCACCTACGGGCCGGTTTACGGTCTGTACATGGGTCTTCAGCCGACGCTGACAGTAACTGATCCAGTTCTGGTCAAGCAAATACTTGTGACTGACTTTCGATGCTTCATCGATCGACGAAAAATGAACTCCTATCACCCTCTGTGGAATGAAAATCTGTTTATGGCAGAGGGGGCTGCCTGGAGACGACTTCGAGCCATCACCAGTCCTGCTTTTAGCGTCCACAAGCTGAAGACGATGGTCCCGTTGATGGAGGACTGTGTACGGCAGCTGGTGGAGCACTTTGAGGTGCTCATTGAAGCTTCAGGGCCAAAAAGTTTGGCCACTTTCAGCGCAAAGGAGGTTTTTGCCGGCTACAGTAAGAGCAAATTGCATACCAATACTGTAAAAAATTTTTAAGTACACTTTTACTGTAGCCATTGATGTGATCTGTCGGGCGGCCTTTGCCGCAGAGACTAATGCAAATAAAGAGAAGAAAAGTGCTAAAAATGGCAAAATGACAACAAATGCGGCGCTGGTGGAAAACGGAAAGCGCTTCTTCAACTTGAATCCACTTAAGATTGTCACTATTCTGGCGCTTCCACGACCGGTGCTGGACTTGCTGAACATTCGACAGCCCTTTAAGGACGACACTTTTGACTACTTTGTTGACTTTGCGCAAGCTGTTGTGAGGGCGAGGAAGGAGGAGCTGGTGGCAAAGGTTGAAGATGGCTCAGCAAAACGGGCAGACCTTGTTCAGCTGCTGATGGACGCCACTGTTGAGGAGGATGAAAGTGATGAAAATAATTCTGAATTTCAATCAAACTCTACCAAAACCTTTTCCTCTTTAAACGAGGATCAGATTGTCGCCCAGCTCATCCTCTTTCTGGCCGCAGGTTTTGAGACCAGCTCAGCGACGCTCACNGCTCAGCATCGCTCACTTTTGCCGTTTTTGAGCTGGTAAACAACAGCGGCGTTCAGGAGAAGCTTTATGAGGAGGTCAAAGATGAAAGCATCACCACCGATACTATTCTCAACAGTTGCCCTTACCTAGAAGCCGTCCTCAAAGAGACCACCCGATTGTATAGCACTGTCGTACGATTGGAACGTCGAGTGGGCGTTGATGATTATCATCTGAAAGAGGGGTTGATTTTAAAGAAAGGAACTCTGGTGGAAATTCCGCCAAGTGCACTGCACCTCAACCCCGAGTTCTGGCCACGTCCGTTCACCTTTGACCCTGAGCGGTGGATGCCGGAAAATGCCCATCTTCTGATGCCCTACGCCTACCTGCCCTTTGGTCAGGGTCCTCGTGGTTGCATTGGACAGCGATTCGCTCTGCAGGAGATGAAACTGGTCCTTGCCAAATTAATTCGAAAGTTTCACTTTAGTAAAACTGCTACCACGCCAGCTAAGATGGATTTTATCATTGGCATTCCGATGCTTAATGCGCGGCCCTTTGAGGTGGCCGTCAGCGCTCGGTAGAGGTAGGTAGGCAAAAGTTGGTTTAGCTGTTCATGCCAAAAATGTCAAAACAAACGCAGTACTTTACTCAAACACTAACAAAGTGTACCCGTTAGAAAGCACGTAATTTTTTGTTGCAGTTTTTTAAAAATTCAAAAAATGAACTACAATTTAAAATGATAAAAGTGCGCAGTTGAATTCAACTGCTGTAAAAACTTGTTTGCCTAAAAAGGGAAGCTCGATACTAATAGTTCGCCCCTACTTTACCAATAAATGCTCTTGTAAAATGAAAAACCGCCCACTTTTCTCAGCCTTTTTCACTGGCAATGTGGCCATTCAGCTGCTAGTTTTCTTCTTCATTGCTCTTTCACTGCTATCTAATGTTCAGATGGCAAAGAAACGGCTTCAAAAGCTTAAGCCTCAACAATATTCTCAACTAGCTCATCCTGTAGTGTACACAGTGCCACCACCTTCAACTGTACGTCCAATTTCACATAAACCCCAGCCTTATACACCACCGCCTTATCAAGGGAGCAACAGCAACAGCAAATACCGGCAAATCAGCAGGTGCGACCCCGCCTTTGCCCGAGACCTCCTACTGCTGCACAACACCATTCGC